CTACTCAGGAGGCTGAGGCAGGAGAATCGCTTGATTCTGGAGGTGGAGGTTGCAGTGAGCCGAGATCACTCCATTGCACTCCAGCCTAGGCAACAAGAGTGAAATTCCATCTCAAAATAATAATAATAAAATAAATAAATAAATGAACTCTATCTTGCCAAATCCATTGGTCAGCTTCTCTGCATTTGACTTCCCAGAAGCAATTGAGACAATAGAAATAATTGACACTCCTTCTTCTATGACCCTTTATTTCCCAGGTTTCAGGGACATCTTGGTCTCTTGGTTTTCCTCCCACCTCTGACCATTATGTCTTGTCTTCTCTGCTAGATCTTCCTCCTCCCCTTCCTAACCTCTAAATGTTGGAGTGTCCATATTTCGGGGCTCTTCTATCATTTATTCCTGAGGGAATCTCCTCTCATTTGTCAATACTAAATATATATATATATATATATATATATATATATATATATATATGCAAAGACAAATCTCTAAGCAAGAGGATTTTATTTGAGAGTAATATACAGAAAGTAGGCTTGCAATAGGGACATGCACAACGAGACCAGGGTAGTTTCCATTGTGTCCAAAGAACAAAGGAAAGGGCTGGAGTTTTATTGGGAAAGGAGAAAGATGATGTAAGTTGTTTTGAAAGAAAGTTAATTGGCGATAGCAGAGTGGGAGCTGGTGAACTCTGATTGGCAGGTGGCAGCAACTGCTAGGTAAAGTTTGTCTTGAAGTCTTAGCAGGCTGTTTCCTTGGAGTAAACTTGCAAAACAGTTTTTGGAAGACGTTTGTGACCAGAGTGCTTTTTCCCAACAATGGCTCCTTGACTCCATTTTCATTGGGTAGGACAGGAATGACTCCAAATCAACTTTCACATATCTACAATTTCATATGATCCCAGCCCTAGCTTCTTCCCCAAACTCTACTGTTTACTTGACTCGAGCCATCAGCAAATTCAGTCAACTCTGCCTTCAAGACATATTCAAAACATGTCACAGTCTCTTCATTTCCCTTGTTGCCGGACAATCCAAGCCACTATGTTTACTTGTCTAGGCTACTGCAGTGGCCACTTAACTGGTCACTAGGGTTTCTCTCTCAACAGCAGCCAGAATGATCTTTTAAAAATGAAATCACTGGATAAAGAAAATGTGGCACATATACACCATGGAATACTATGCAGCCATAAAAAAGAATGAGTTCATGTCCTTCACAGTGACATGGATGAAGCTGGAAGCCATCATTCTCAGCAAACTAACACAGGAACAGAAAACCAAACTCCACATGTTATCTCTCAGAAGTGGGAGTTGAACAATGACAACACATGGACACACGGAGGGGACTATCACACACCAGGGCCTGTCGGTGGGTTGGGGCAAGGGGAGGGAGAGCATTAGGACAAATACCTAATGCATGCGGGGCTTAAAACCTAGATGACGGGTTGATAGGTACAGCAAACCACCATGGCACATGTATACCTATGTAACAAACCTGTATGTTCTGCACATGTATCCCAGAACTTAAAGTAAAATAAAAATTTTTAAAAGATGACAGAAAAAAAAAAAAATCAGACCACAGCCATTTTTCTGCTTACATTTCTCCAGTGGCTTTTTTCAGATTCAGAAAAATATAGAAACTCCTCCCAGCTCACAAAATTTTATATCTGGGCTCTTAATCAGAAGATCGCTGTTAATCTTCTGCCACCCTCCCTTTCCCTTGACTCTCCAGTCACACTGGCCCCATTTCTGTTCCTGGAACATAACAAACTCATTCCTGCCTTTGGGTATTGGCACTAGCCATTCCCTCTCCCCAGAATGTTCTCTCCTCTGATCTTTGCATAGCTGGTCATTTCTTGTGGTTAGGATCTGAGCTTAAATGTTAGTAATTCTTAGGAACCCCAACTGTAAAAAATATAAATAAAGTTCATGAATTTGCTGGGTATTTTCAACTCAATGTAAACACAGGTAAGCTTTTTGTGCTCTAAAAGTACTGCTTCAGTATTTCTACTTTTGAAAATTATAAAATTCTTCCAGAATGTAAATACACAGTACTTCATTAAATTGACATTTAAAAGTAGAAAATAGTATCCTAGAAATTGTGTCCACCAGTGCCTAGAGAACCCTGTGAGGCTGAAGTACTGTGTTGCCAGAGCTTGCCATGAGACGGTGGGCCAAGTGTCCCATCTTTGTGAGCAGGAGTTCTCCCCACCGGGAAAGTAGGTACAATCACCTCTTGCTTAAGACAAGAAATATATGTGTGTATGACATTTTGGTTTAATAACGAATTAAAGATGTCTTGATCTGTGCAAATCTTCTCCCCCAGAAAAATACATATCGAGGGCACATGTGCTCAGCATTGCCTTCCAAAGTTCTTCTTCTCAATCTTATAAGTTCTCGTTCTCAGAGCATATAAAGTATGTTTATGCAATCCCTTGTGAAAATAGATGAGGCAATATGGCTGGCGTCACAAGCAATACATTGATGAAGAAATGATTAAGAAACAAGAGGAAGGCAAATAGGCGAGCAGTGGTGTAGAGGAGCATTGACATTGTAAGTGGCACAGTTATTCCGTGGGTTGAGTGGCACATTTGGTCTCCCTGGCCCTTGGAACCATAAATGCTCTAGTAGCAGCCCTGCTCACCCCCCAGCCATTGTGCCAACCACAAATGCCCACACATTTCCAATCACTCCCTAGAGTGCCTGAGAATTAATGAATGGCACAGCCATTATCTTGGTGCTTTATATTTTACAGCAAATGTACCTTCAGGATGAAATTTGCTAAAGAGACAATTCATATAGTACTTTTACCCACAATGTTTTTATGTTAATAGCCTTTTAGCTTAATGCTTTTGTGCTTTGCAAACTAATTCTGAAACACATTAAGTGTGTTAAGTGAGGGATAGATATACAGGGATCTAAACCTACCAAATGGAATTAGTGAGAAGGAATCTTTGACAAGCAGTTTGAAGACAAAGTGCCACATCAATGTTCAAAAATATAATTATCGCAGTGGAGGCCATTATCACCTTTCTCTGCTTATGAGAACACAATTAAAATTAGGGACCTCTACATTTTCCTTGAAAGGGTGAGTTCAGGCAGTCAAGCAAGCAATTTCCTTAGCAATGACTGGGAAGAAGGTGTATTAGTAAGATGTTACAGCCTCAAAGGACACTGTAATAGACCAGGATGGCGAGTAGCTTCCAAAAATGGCTCCTAGTGATTGCTGTTCCTGCTGCTCACACCCTTGGGGGATCCCTTGCCCTTGAGTATAGATTGGATTTAGTAATTTGCTTCTCATGAATAGAATATGAGAAAAATGATGAAATATCACTTCTGAAATGCAGTTGCAAAAATCTGTGACTCTGTCTTGCTCTTTGTCTTCCTGGCTTTTGTCAGCATGCTAGCCCACCAGGCAAGCTGCCATGTTGTGAGCTTCCCTACAGGAAGGCCCATCTGGCAAGGAGCGGAGGGCAGCCAACGACCATCAAGGAACTGAGGCCCTCAGTGTAACAACCCACGAGAAGAATCCTGCCAACAACCATATGAGTCAACTTAGAAATGGATCGTTCCCAGGCTAACAACGTGATTACAGGCTGTGAGAGACCCTGGAACAGAAGACCCAGCTAAACTAGAGCTGACTCATAGAAACTGTGAGTTAGGAAACATTTGTTGTTTTAAGCCACTAAGTTTTGGGGTAATTTGTTACACAGCAATAGATAACTAATATACCCAGTCTGCTCTAAACAACAGGAAGCACTCACTTGTGGTGTGACTCCTGCTTTACAGCCTTTAAGACTGAAAAGTACCCAGATTTGTGTATCTGAATAGAGAGGGAGGCAGGGCTGAGTACAAAACCTCCCTTAACATTTCTGGCGAAGAAAACAAAACATTATATGGCAAGATGGCATGGAAGAGAGAACATCTAGAGGCAGATGTTGTATCATCAGGTCACTATCTTCAAAAATTCAAGTTGTATAACTTCTCTAGGATTCAGTTTCTTCCTGAAAGAGCTGGTGATGTGACTGGGCTGGACTGTAATAACTGCTAACATTCTATAACACTTGATTTGAGGAACTCAGGCAGGCACCACCCCCAAATGTCTTTGTCAATAATTGGAAACTCCATCATTAGGAATTTGTTCCTTAGTGATTCCAGGGACTGTCCCTGAAGTTACTACTCAAGATGAAAAATTCTGGATGGTGAGATAGATGGAGAAAGAAATTCTATGGATATCTTTAAGGATAGTGCAGAGATGGAGGTTCTTGTGTTGCTCTGAAGTCCCTGAAGGGTAATGGTGACAATACCAAAGATAGGCATGGTTGATTTCACAATTTTGAGGACCTAATAAACTTCCTTTTTGATATATGTGAACTATATAACTGGTCACCTTTCTCCTCTTACCTTGGCTGCAAGGAAGCTAAGAGCAAACTCAAGTTCAGTCATAGATACTGTTTTAAATTTTATGGTTCCTGTATCGGTTTGTATTCTTTTTCTCTGTTCTCATTTTTCTATTTGTAGTTTACCACATCTTTTGTCATAACCCAGCTCAAATCCTTTATGGACCATCCTGGGCAACATAGTGAGACCCCATCTCTATAAAAAAACAAAATTAGCTAGGCATGGTGGTGCACACCTGTCGTCCCAGCTACTTGGGAGGCTGAGGTAGGAGGATTACTTCAGCCCAGAAGGTCGAGGCTGCAGTGAGCTGAGATCTCACCACTGCCCATCAGCCTGGACAACAAAGCAGAAACAAAACAAAACAAAACAAAACAAAATCCTTTATGGAAAAAAGTTGGAAGCATAAATACATATAATAAACACAAGCATGTATGTTTGAATTTTTTCTCTAATTGTGATAATACAAACATAAATTGTGAATCTGGAGATACACTTTTATCTTGATTAGTTCCCAAATTTAAAGTTAGTTTGGCTTGGGGGAGTGCAAAGATTTAAATTAGCATAATTTAGAAAAAGCATAAATTGGAAAAATTAAAATACAAATCGCAACAATATGTGTACCGTTTTTATTTGTAAAAATAACCATCTGAATGCATTTCCATAGTATATTACAGTTAAGTACTTCGTTATGTTATTAGAGCATTCAGTAGTTGCAAAAGTATTAAACTGTGCTTGAGAAGATTCAGATTGGTTCAAAGTCATTCACTGAACTAAAAGTCATTTTCCCCATTTTTACAGTCATGACATTTACCAGTCATTCAACTCCAATTTACATATGAAAACATTATAGACAAAATCCCACTGAAATCATCAAACAATATTTTATGCTGTTACAAATATGTTATGCAAAATATAACACTGGCACCAGATTTGTATCATCGTGCTTTACAAAGATATATTGCACATGCTAGAGCATAAAATATGTAGACAAAACTACCAAATAAAAGATATTTGCATTGAATTTTTAGATCACATAAGAAACGCATAGAATTACATTTTATACAAACACTCAGATTGTCACTATCTTAAAATGCTTTTCTCCTATAATACTGACCTATGGTTTACAGTTTTGTAAGAAGAAAGCATTTTAGCACTGCAAAATCAAACAATTCCTATAGAAAACTTTAGCATTTTCATATTCATTTCAATGCAAGTACAAGGGGAAATAGGAAAAAAGACACTTTATACATTCAAAGAAAGGTTGAAATGAAAACTCACTGGTATCATATTGCTCTGATAACACTCAAATGAAAAAATACAAAACATTCCACGGAACATTTCTAGAATATACAAATATAAAAAGGCACTCTAACTTCATATTACAAGACAAAAAAAGGGATGAGTTTTTCAACCAACACAACATATAAGCACACCAAGTTGCTCAACAGTACAAAGAATAACTAGTGCAGCAAATCCATTTGATGTTCTTGTTGTAATGTAATAACAAAATGATAAACCAAGCAGTGTTTACTGCCTAAAGTACCAAAACATACTATAGTGCCCTTTTAGTAGTGATAAATAGAAATACCCTGAGCTATTTACTGTAGAATCATAGCAGATTTTAGGCAATTTGGAGATAGTAATGCATTTACCAAAGACAGGCAGACACTGGCAAATAAGTAAGTGCAATGAAACATGATCCTTGTGGCTGTGGTTAAAATACAGTCTAAAAATAACACACTTCAGTAAAAGCACTAAGCAACTAAGACTCAGTTAAAAACACATTTTTTTTTTTCCCTTAGAAAGCTATGGTGCAAACATAATTTTATTTCTAAGGGATGTAATTAAAATACAGAAATGATAGTTTTTAAAGTCATTTCTTTAAAAAAAAATTTAGTCTTGGGGTATGGGAGAAAGAGGAGGAGAGAGAGAGAGATATCAGTTGATGTAATGAACAGTTCATTGTGAGCATGATTTCATTTCGTTCCTTTGTCCTCCTTCTATGAGTAAGAGAGTGGGGAAAAGTCAAAACGCAGCTCCATGGAGATAACGTCTCATGGTGAGTCACTGCTTTGCTGAAATGATTCTTGTACTCTCTGCTACACAACAGGAAAAATGTTAACGCTGCTTTGCCATTAAAGCAAGCATTTCATTTCCTGCTTGAAATGCCAACTGAGCAAGATTTCCATTCACTTCTAGAAAAAGACACCGCAGTATATTGTGCTTCTTCAACATTGAATCTCTCTTAATTTTCAGTGTTTTAGTAAAGAGAAGGTCATTATTGCTCATTAGCAATTTATCTGCTTTTTAAAAATTCATCTTCTCTAAACAAACGAAAAGGACAGAAGGTGGGAAGCACAACACCAAGAATTCAAAAACAGTGGTGGTGGTGTGGGAAATTTTCAGGGAAATTAATACCAGTTCAATCAGTCCTCTGAGCAAGCTCTCATTTGTGAAGAACCCAACAGGAGTTTTAATCAAATCCAGGATATGAAGAATAAGATTAAAGTTTTACAGTTAGATGAAAAATATAATACAGTTATCTGTCTTTGATCCAGATATGATAGAACATTATTTTAAAAATATCTCACATACACTATAAAATACAATTTCCAGGGTGGAAATGGAACTCATTATAAAATGTCAGAGAGTACTTCTCCAATTCGACACATTTCTTTTCTGTCTCGTCCTCAAGTAGAAAATAGCACTTGAGCTGGTGATTTTTATTTCTCCTTTTAGCACATGTGCCCACATACTGCCATCATTTCCCATCAGGTTACTGAGACTATGTGAGCTTTTCAGTGTACTTAGGGTAATTTCTAGATATTTCTTTGGGCTGCCTTTGTGTATATGATCCACTACACATTTGAGTTTTCATCTCGCAGAAGAGCATCCAGACTGCAATGTCTTCTAAGCTCTAAGCTTTACGGACTGTGGCTGAGCAATAGAAGATGCATAGCCCTCTCTAACCAGCGCTGAGGGTCAGCTGGAAACCCTAGCAGTGGAAATGCTGGGTGTGGCCCTTGGGCTTTTGGCTAGCCCAGGGTCAAGTGTGTTTTTTCACTGTTTTTGTTATTCTAAATAAGATACATAGCAATTAAAATAGAGAACAAATAATGGATGGTTCCTCACTAATTGCTTCATTTCAAATAAATATAAACACATTTACATCAAAAGTATATGGACATTTTCTCTAGTTTGGCAAAAAAAAAAAAAACATGGTCAACACATCATCAGCTACAAATGTTAAGTGGTCAACTAGAAATCTGTGTCATAAGAAATATAAAATACAACAAAGACTGGTACACAAAAAGATTACATTTTAACTCCATAAAAAAGCTACTTCAGTTCTCACTTGCATTTTGAAGGAAAAAAATGTATATCTTCCATTTTAGACTGAAGCATTTTGGTCCTCATGTGTAGCTGGCTGATGAACTACACACACACACATATATTTTTAAATGCATAATTTTTAAAGAGTCTCATTCTTCTTTTTGTACAGCGGTTCCAGGTGTGGAACGGGGTCCGTTTGACCTAGAAGCTTTGGCAGAGGGAGCAGACACAGTATTCACTATGTTGATTTCATCATCAAGCAACTGGCAATCGGCTTTACTTGCTAAATCACCCACTTCTACTTTCTGCTTTCACTTTTTTTGTTCCTTTTTGCAGTCACACTTTTCACTCACTTGGCATGGCCTTGACTTGGAAGTTCATTTTACTACTGATGAACAATGCTGATGATTCTCATGGTTTTTAAAAGTTAGTATTTTGATTTAAGAGTAAATTAACAAAGGGTAGTTTCATATTAATTTTGCATATTGTGTCAAAGTTTTGGTGCAATGTAAATTTCACCTGAAATGTTATTAGATAAATTTCGGTTCAATCACTTAAGTGAAAATTAGTCACAGGCTTGTTATAGAGAACACTGTGTTAAACAAAAAACGCAAGTTCAATTTTTCAATTCATCTGGCAACTTTAACAGAGATCCTCAGAAAGAAGTTCTGGATATTTAAATGCTTACTATAGAGAGGATATAAATAGTTGGACTCTCTAAAGAGATTATTACAGGCATTATTTCTAAAGATGAACACCTTTACCTTTGGCTTCTAGTGAGGAAGTAAACATCAAAGTGAGAAGAGGTTTGAGGCATTTCCTATCTGCCTCTTCCCTTCCCTCCCAGGGGACATGAATGTCACACTGATATATTTCTGAGAATTCACTGCTAAATACATGAAAAGAAAAATTATTCATAGCGAACAGCTGCCTCTCTGTTGCATTATCCCCAAAGAACAGGAATTAAATACATCTTTTATTCTTTACTTAAAATGAGAGGTAGACTTCCATAGAAGTATCTTAAAGAAGATGTGAAACAAAACAAAACTGGGGCCATCTGTGTGAGTGTTCCACCCAACAGCCTCACTGCCCGCCTCGATTAATTCCTTCTCTACTAGCTTCTGGAAGCCCAGGCCCCAAATAATACTTGAACACACATAAACCTGGAATTCAAGCTTCTTTCCTTTCCTCCAACACAGGTGATCAAAGGAAAGCTTCTACAGTCCAAAGTCAAAACGTTTCCGAATCAGAATCATTTTCATTGTACCCATCCTCCGAGCCTACGTTGTTACTGCACAGGCTAACCATGCTACCCAGATTGGAGAGGGTCGTCCTGCTCAAATTGTCTTTTTTTAAACAAACGAAGTTGACAGCCGTCATTGTACTGGAAGGAGAAAAAGGCATCATGGTAGCCAAAATGAGGGCCAGGCAGTCAGCCACGTCTTTGTTAGGAGCGCAAGCCAGGGCCGGGGTATGACCTGGGCGTAAATGCAGACAAGGCAGTGGTTAGTTCTGGGGAGTCTAGAGGAGGCACGAGCATTCCACAGTACATCTCAGATGACCTCACAGGCGGAGATGTATGTTGAGTTAGAAATCATGCCAGGTAAAAGGAGGAGTTACTTCTCACAAGTCATGCTAGGGGTGAGGCTAGACGGGGAGGGAGGGAAGACATTTTATGGAGGGCTTTTTATTTTTGTTTTCAGCTCATATGACTACGACAAGCACGATATTATCCAATGTTAGGCAGGATTCCAGCCTTCATTTAGTGAACACAAACATGAGGGGGTGGGTGTGGGACACAATTTCACAATAAACAGCAACAGGACAATCAGGAAGATGTTTCCGCCTGACAGCACACACACACCATGAGCCTCAGGCCTGGGCCTGAGAAGGACTCTCATTCTGAGAACAATGACTTTCTATTGTTAGGTAATTGTGTGTCCAATTAGAAAAGATATTGAAAATTAGATGACTGCAAAAGTGAGTAATGAAGTTTTGTCACTTTATATATGTTTCATAGAAAGTAGACACCAATAACTGGTTTTAGAAAAATGGAATCATTTCAGTAGATCAGACACAGGAAAGCACTGGTTGTTTATGATTAAAAATTTACAATCATTTAGGAGAAATTTAACAAAAACATTTTTTTTGATAGGGTTTCACTCTGTTGCCCAGGCTGGATTGTAGTGGCATGGGCCTTGATCTCACTACAGTCTTGTCTTTCGGACTCACGCAATCCTCTCACCTCAGCCTCCCGAATAGCTGGGACTGTAGGTGTGTGCCACTACTCCCAGCTGATTTTTTTTTTTTAATATTTTTTATTTGAGTCGAGGTCTTGCTGTATTTCCCAGGCTGTTCTCAAACTCCTGGGGTCAAGCGATCCTCCCACTTTGGCTTCCCAAAGTCCTGGGATTATAGGCATAAGCCATCACACCTGGCCTAGTAGAGTACTTAAAAATGGCCACTCACCAACCAAAGTCCCAAATCTAAAATGTAATGGATGTGAGAAAATTACTATGCTTGTCATAATTAGAACCATGTTATTCTCATTTAGACTCAATGGGTCCAGCCCAGATAAGAAAACTGTCTTAACTCATAATACAGGTTCTTTGGGGAAGTAGATTAAGTCTTTGACTTGATTATTTCCCTTATCCAACCTTTATTCTACTGGCCTGAAAAGGGTTAGCTGCCTTCTCGGCTGGTCAAAGTTTCCACTACACAGTGAGTAGGGCACTTGCTCAGTAATTCAGAGGAATAGCTCACTAAAACTTCACGTTTGTTGTTTTGTTTATCATCACTCGACCTGCTCTCCCCACCCTGCTCTTTAGTACATCATTCATTTTTCTGGTATGAACACAAATAAGAATGAACAGGTAGTTTAACATTTCATTCCACAAAAGTCAGTGATGAGTAAAGGAATCGTGGTTGTACTGCTGTATAAAATGGCCCCAAACGTTCCCAGGCCTTTGGGATGCAGGTATGCACCAACCCAGGGCTCTTGTTCCTAAGGTCACTATCAGCTGAACAAACCTTCAGTGCAGCAGATTTACACCAGGAAAAGCAAAACTAATTTATTCTATTCTCTTTGACCATTTTGGAGAAAAACTGTGGGCCTCTGCAGGCCGACCCTAAGTCTACAGTGGCGTTAAGAGGGTGTGGGAAGGTGAGGCAGGAAAACCAAGGAGATGGAGTAATAGGGAACTTTCTGCACTTCCTAGATGAGTCAGGTGGGGGACAGAGCAGGGTACATGCTAGGATAAATGGGGCTGGAAAATCAAAACTAATAAGAGTTAGCTACTGATGCCAGTATGGCTGCTTACTTCTGAGAAACAGGCATGAGCTGCTAATCCCAACACCTGTAACAAGCAGTTGATTGAGTTACATTAATACATTATAATACTTTAATTAAATGCCACATTTTAAAAATTACAGAATTCATAAATATCCAGAAGTTCCTTTTTTGCTCCCCAAGGTTAATAGGCGTTGTGCTTAAAATGGCAGCTTAGTGCAATTCTAGTAGCCATTCTTTTCAAAATGTCTTAGGAAGCAGAGTAGAAAGCTTCTGTTAAGAATTAGTTCATTAGGAAAGGAACACTATGCAGATCGGGGGAAGCTTCAAGCCTAGACACTGATTAAGAAATTTTACTCTTGTTCCTCAAATTTCCATACTTGGAATATGAGTTCTGATCTGTACTTAAAGAAAAAAAAAAAGTTTGATCTCAGAATGAACTTAAATACAATCAAAAATCTAGGTTTTCATTTGAGCCCTTGAGCATGCACTAATGACATGTGTAATCCCTAACTCTTCAGCATCTGCAGTTAAAATTTTGAGTGTCAACCTGAAACTCTTTTAGTGTGTCTAAAATATTTTAACCACTGTGCTGAGGAGTTAGAGACCAGCTGCTGGCATTGCATGCAAAATGGACAGCACTGGGTGGGCTACAGGTAGACTATGTGATTTACAAAAAGACAGACAGGACCAGTTATCCTTGCTTGATTTCTCCCACATGGGACTTCCAAGGGGGACAGAATTCTTAACCGCTTTTTAAACTAGCACCTATCTTTCTCATTTTCCTCTGGCTTCGACTAGCTTATGGAAAGTACCTGCAGTCACTGTTCACTTTTTCCACTTACCATTTTCATCTACAGCAAGTACACAGGCCCCTTTGGCCAGCAACTCCTCAACTACCACCTTCAAGCCATTGCGTGCAGCAACGTGGAGGGGTCTAAAAAACACAAGACCGAGCATCAGTTGTGATACATACTTGGGTGAGAATGTGGAATTCTGGTTAGCCCATGTCGCTAAAAGGAAGTACTTAGACTCTGCAAATAGTACATGGATGTTTTTACTTAAGAAAAAAAAAAAAATTGCTGCCCAGATCTTTTCCAGGTGCTAATGGTCCAACTGTTGTTGTATGTTTGGCCCAGATCTTGCTGCAGATATTACAAATACTCTGCATCTCAAACAATCTCAATGGCAGTAAACAGGAAGACAGAGGAAGAACTCAAGCTTTGCTGTTTTTTGCAGAAGGCCCTTTACTGCTTGATTTCTAACACAGCATTTGAATCACTGTTTCACACAGTTCAATAATATGACTGGCATTAATGCCACCCATATATATGTATAATTTCAACCCTCCTTGTTACTACAAAATGCACACAAATGTTTTAGTGAATTTATAATACCTTAAAGAATTATGTCAAACTCAGTATATTGTGCTTATATACTGCTTAAGAATCTTTTTTTTTTTTTTGAGACAGGGTCTCACTCTGTCACCCAGGCTGGAGTGCAGTGGCATGATCACAGCTCACTGCAGCCTTGACCTTCTGCTGGGCTCAAGTGATTCTCCTGCCTCAGTCTCCTGAGTAGCTGGGACTACAGGTGCAAACCACCGTGGCTGGCTAATTTTTTTATTTTTTTGTAGAGAAGGAGTTTTATCATGTTGGCCAGGCTGGTCTCAAACTGCTAGGCCCAAGTGATCTGCCTGTCTGAGCCTCCCAAAGTGCCAGGATTACGGGCATGAGCCACCACACCCAATTTTTTGTTTGTTTGTTTGTTTGGAGACAGAGTCTTGATCTTGTTGCCCAGGCTGGAGTGCAGTGGCGCGGTCTCAGCTCAGTGCAAACTCTGCCTCCCAGGCTCAAGTGATTCTCCGGCCTCAGCCTCCCAAGTAGCTGAGATTACAGGCACCCACCATTACGCCCAGCTAATTTTTTTGGTGGTGGTGTATTTTTTAGTAGAGATGGGGTTTCACCATGTTGGCCAGGCTGGTCATGAACTCCTGGCCTCAAGTAATCCACCTGCCTCAGCCTCCCAAAGTGTTGGGATTACAGGCATGAGCCACCACGCCCTGCTTAAGAATCTTAAATGAAAAAAATTCCTTTGCCTTTAAAACAAATGCATAAATAATTTCCTAAAGCAGAAAATGAAACAGCTTTTAGATCTTTCACACCAAGGGTTACACTGAATTATATTAAAATATAATCAAGACAAATAGCTTAGAAACTCTTCAAATGTATTCTGGGAACCTGATTTGTAAAACTGTCATTTTCTAGTCAGAATACATAATGCTAATACATAATACAAATAGCTTCCCCAAATATGTCAGTCCATAAGATTTTTCTAACAGCCCACTAAATTTATAATATTACCCCAGAAATATCAGCAAAGAAAAACACAGACTTCACAAAATTCTATGAAGACATATCAAAAGAAGGATTCTAACTAAAACTGCCTAGCTTGGTCAGCACTTGTAGGTATGTGACTGTCACCTTCATGCAGGGGAAGCCAGGTCTGCATCTTTCACCACTGTGCCCCCCAGAGCTAGTCTGGCACACAGCAGGCTCTTAATATTTATTGAATAAATGACTATGACCCTGGGTTCAAGTCCAACTTTAGTGGTTACACTTACGTCTGCAGTGCATTATTTTTTGCATTAATAAGGCTCTCGTCTTGTATCTTGTCAAGTATTAACAAGGCACATTTTTCATGACCCTAATAAAGAAAAAGAATGATAAGAAATACAGGACAGAGACACAGAAAAGTTACTGTGAAATTTCTTCATTATGATTTAAATTGAAAATGAATTTCCTCTGCCTAACAACATTCTATAGAGCTATTTTCTGAGTAATTTTTTTTTCTTCTCAATAGGGAATGGGCTCCAGACACTCTAAGAGTCCTAATAGGGTCTATTAGAACTTGGTTAACATAAGCCTGATCTAAAATATTAATGCTGCTAAGATAAATTTTAAAATTAATCCCCAGAGAGGTAAAGCAGATGCTAGTTTAGCTAGGCCAGCTGGTAAGTAGGGAATAGAATTCGGAATATTGTCTGAATCCTACAACATTTAACATACATCAAAAGTCCCACCTCCTATTTCAAGACATCAGTTACTACTTCAATTATCCATTTATCCTTGGAATTCCCATTACATCTATTATCCATATCATTCATCATCATTAATTGCCTTATACTGTGAAGAAACCCTATTTCAGGAAAACTCATTCTTTTCTTCCTCGACCAGTGGAAGATCTCTCTCTGTACCTTATGAAAATAGATGGTTAATAATCTTTGAAAATCAACTGAGGAGTCAGAGACCCTTTCACAATTTTCTTCCTAAGCCCTTGCTGACAAACATGTGGCCTGCAGAGCAGTCATATTAGTATTACTGGGAGTTAGAACTGCTGAATCTCAAGCTCTGCCCCAGACCTAATAAATCAGAATCTGTTTTTTCACAGATCTCCTAGGTGATTCATTTGCATGATAAAGTTTGAAAAGCATTGCACTTATATTCACCAAAATACTATACCTTGAAATAAACTTCATAAAGCTGAGCACTTTTTGTGGTTCCCATGGGCTTCCCAGAGCATGAAGTGAGAAAATGCAAGCAATGAAAGGAATGTCTGAGACTTCTGGTACCATATAGGTAACACTGATAATATTTTAACTACACTGAAATAAATCACCGCCATGGGTGCTAACTGGCGTCATACTATAATGCCTTATATGGGAGACCGTTAAATATAATTTTAGAAATGTCCATGGAGGTTTCATTCTGATGCACTGCTGTTGGAGGGTAAACTGTTGTGACCTCATAAGAGGGCAAGTTGGTCTAAAAATATTTATATCTGGCAGGCTGCGGTGGCTCACGCTTGTAATCCTAGCACTTTGGGGTGCCAAGGCGGGCAGATCATGAGGTCAGGAGTTCGAGACCAGCCTGGCCAGCATGGTGAAACTCTGCTCTCACAAAAAATATAAAAATTAGCCGGGCATGGTGGCGCGTGCCTGTAGTCCCAGCTACTCGGGCTGCTGAGGCAGGAGAATCTTTTGAACTTGGGAGGCGGAGGTTGCAGTGGGCCAAGATGGCACCACTGCATTCCAGCCTGGGCAACAGAGTGAGATTCCGTCTCAAAAAAAAAAAAAAAAAAAAAAGTATATCATTAGACTCAATAATTCCACACTTAGGAATTTATCTTAAAGTAATGAGTAAGGTTGTTTATAAAAGATTCCTCTGCAATAAGCATTATTTATATAGGTTGAGCATACCAAATTCGAAAATCTGAAACAAAAAATGCTACAAAATCCAAAACTTTTTGAATATTGACATAACACTAAGATTTCTGGATTTGGGATAATCAACAGGTATAATACAAATATTCCAAAATCCAAAAAATTCCTAAATCTGAAACACTTCTAGTCCCAGCCATTTCAGGTAAGAAATACTGAACTTGTACTAGCATATAATTGAAAACAAGCTATTTGTCTAATAATAGGAAATGGGTTGAATAAAAGATGGCCCATTCCTAAGCTGAAACACTACAAATCTAAAATACCATAAAACATGATGTTTAAAAGATATTAATATTATACGATTCAGCAATAAAACCAAATTTTGTAAAATCATATGTATGACATAAAAGATAAATTATATATATATGTAATTTTACATAATTTATCTTTTCTTTTTTTTTTGAGATGGAGTTTCACTCTTGTTGCCCAGTCTGGAGTGCAATGGCGCGATCTTGGCTCACCACAACCTCTGCCTCCCGGGTTCAAACGATTCTCCTGGCTCAGCCTCCTGAGTAGCTGGGATTACAGGCATGCACCACCACACCCGGCTAATTTTGTATTTTTGGTAGAGACAGGGGTTCTCCATTATGGTCAGGCTGGTCTCGAACTCCCAACCTCAGGTGATCCACCTGCCTCGGCCTCCCAAAGTGCTGGGATTACAAGCATAAGTCACTGTGCCCGGCCTAAAATTTATCTTTTATGGAAGAAGGAATCTTGAGCAACATGTGAACACACCACTATTTGAAAACAAAAAAACATTTTTCTGCATTGAACTATACACCAGAAAAAAGAGGAGAGGGTAGAAATACACATAGATCTGTTTATTTGCTTCACATTAGTGTATTTTTTGGCTGTGTTACTACAATGTCTTCAAATGGAACAAAATGAAAACAAGTAAAACTGCTTATACTTTGCAAGCCACCTAACTAAGGTCCTAACTTTTATGTAGGTACCAAAATGTGGTACAACAAGCAGAGAGACAGATACAATGGCAGCATCAAGACAGACAGACTACAGCAAGAATGCAAGTGGCAGATGCCATGAAAAGCATGTTCTCATCATTTGTGTTGATGAAGATATGCTTCTTCATCAACACGAATGGGTTATTGGGTCTGTCCTTTCCTTCTCATCCTTCAATTCCACTTTCAGTTGACAAGACCCTGGGAAGATGTACATTCTTAATTAAGAGCCATGCTACACAGTTCTGCAGTAGAATTTCAGTGGTGTTATTACTGTTATTATTACAACATGAAGTAATAATATTTTAAATTCAATTACATACTTTACTACAAGCCAAATGTAAGGATGTATTCAAGTCCTTATCCTTTACAGTCAGATCAGCCTGGGCACTGTTCACCAAAATATCTGTAGAAAAAGCCCAAAAGAGGGTTACTTAGATGAGATGCTGATCACATGCATTTTGAAGAAGTCACTACAAACACAATAACATATTTAAAATAGTACAGTTCACATAATCATATTTAATGTTTTTAAAGAAAAAAGGGAGTAATTTATTTTCATATTTGTGCTATCCAAGGTTAATAGGCACTAATTTTAACTGCTTTTACAGTTCATTATTTCCAGTTAAAATGATTATGTTGTCATACTTGGTTTCTAAATGTTGAGAATTTCATTGCAGAAGGGCTGGCTCTTTGACAAGGTCCACCAAGAATCAAAAACAAGAAACTGAAGACGCTTGAGCAGGTAGAATCAGGTGACCTAAGTAAAACTGCTAATGGCCTTTTTCCATATGTATATACTATGAGAACAACTGATTTCTTGATTTGATATTATTTTGGTTTTTGGATGGGCATAAGGGCAAAGTCCATACAACAAGCACATACCCACAGCGCCTGCCTGCCCGTTCTCAGCAGCCATCATCAGTGCTGTTTTCCCTGAATTGTCTACTGCGTTCACTGGAGCACTGTGACTCAGAAGAAGCTGCAGGCACTCCACATGATCAGCAAACGCTGCCGCATGAAGGGGTGTCCTAAAGATTTAAAACAAGTATCACTTGAGTTTCCTTTAAACTTCATTCTCATTAGTTACTGCCCAAGAAACATGTACATGGTGTTGTCTTAAGGATTTAAAACTTCTCAGTTTATAGACATAGTGATCAGGCCCCCTCCCTCTAAAGGTCATCCAGGGTAGACACTGAAGTATCACGTACGGGACTGGAAACTCCTAGATGTGGGAGTGGGGTGTGTGTTGGCCCTGATAATGAAATTAGCGTCTTTACTGACTCTTTAATCTTAAGTTCCAGTGAGTCTACTTTTATCTTTGAGATAGATACTTTCAAAATTAATGCTTAAGTCTGTAGGTAATTGGCAGATTAAATAAAAATTTTAAAAGTCCATCACATCATCTATTGTGGTTGCTTAATTTCTTTTAAAGGATAATTTGGCATTATTTATCAAAATTAAAAAATATCAACCCTTTAACCAATAAATCCAATTCTAGGTTTTTCTCTCTCAGATACACTTGGTTATGTGTACAGACACATGTTTTATTTATTTATTTATTTATTTTTGAGACAGAGTCTCACTCTGTCGCCCAGGCTGGAGTGCAGTGGCACAATCTCAGTTCACTGCAACCTCTGCCTCCCGGGTTCAAGTGATTCTCCTGCCTCAGCCTCCAGAGTAGCTGGGACTACAGGCATGTGCCACCATGCCTGGCTGATTTTTTGTATTTTTAGTAGAGATGGGGTTTCACCACGTTAACCAAGATGGTCTCTATCTCCTGACCTTGTGATCCACCCACTTCAACCTCCCAAAGTGCTGGGATGACAGGAGTGAGCCACGGTGCCTGGCCCAGATACATATAAGAGAATGTTCACCACATCACACTTTGAAACAGTAAAATATTGGAAACGACCTAAATATTCTTCAATGGAGGGCAGGATGAGCAAATTATAGCATAGCCATTCAATGAAATAATATGCAGCCTTTTTTTTTTTTTTTTTTTGAGACGGAGTCTCGCTCTGCCACCCAGGCTGGAGTGCAATGGCCGGATCTCAGCTCACTGCAAGCTCCGCCTCCCGGGTTCACGCCATTCTCCTGCCTCAGCCTCCCGAGTAGCTGGGACTACAGGCGCCCGCCACCTCGCCCGGCTAGTTTTTTGTATTTTTAAGTAGAGACGGGGTTTCACCGTGTTAGCCAGGATGGTCTCGATCTCCTGACCTCGTGATCCGCCTGTCTCGGCCTCCCAAAGTGCTGGGATTACAGGCTTGAGCCACCGCGCCCGGCCAATATGCAGCTTTAAAAAGAACATGGTATGGAAGGATCTCCAAGATATACTAAAGTAGAGCATTGTTACAGAATGCTACCATGTACAAAAAGAATATATGGATATATACATACATATGTATATATGTTTGTAGATATGCATAAAAAATATTTAGGAGAACATAAAATTTGTAAATAACAGTGTATAGTAGCTTTCTCTTGGAAGAAGCTAGGGATTTCAGGCTTAGAGGGAAATTTCTTTTAATTATACACCCTCTGTAATATTAAAAACCATGCTTATCCATTATTCTTTCAATTAAAAACATGTATGTTTGGCTACTCTGCAACTGCAAAGCAGAGGCTAAGATTCATCAAGATAAAAGGCATGCCGTTTTAGATTACTTACCTGCCTTTGTCATCTCTACAACTGACGATACTGGAATCTATGGCCCCAAGCAGCAATGATGCACAATTCCCATGATCATTGATTCTAAAATGAAAATGGGTTTTAATGTAACAATCTCACTCTTTTAAATTATATCAACTCCTAACCCATCTTCCTATGTACTGTATATTTGACAATCCAAAGCATTTTTAAAAAATCGAACGTAAATATTTGTGGTATACGTTTCATTGGCATACACTTTGTAACCCCTAGCATTACTTCAGAACCTCTATATCCAGGTAGAAGTTTATTGCACTTATACAAGATACCACGTTAGGCGTTTTGGAGATATCAAAGTGGAATAGACATGCTTCCTTCAGATTTAAAATCTTTCTGACCTTTGGGAGGCTGAGGCGGGCAGATCATGAGGTCAGGAGTTCGAAACCAGCCTGGCCAATATGGTGAAACCCAGTCCCTACTAAAACCACAAAAATTAGCCAGGTGTGGTGGCGCGCACCTGTAGTCCCAGCTGCTCGGGAGGCTGAGGCAGGAGAATTGCTTGAATCCGGGAGGCGGAGGTTGCAGTGAGCCGAGATTGTGCCACTGCTCTCCAGCCTAGGCGACAGAGCAAGACTCCGTCTCAAAAAACAAAAAGCAATAAACAAAATAAAATCTTTCTGACTCTTTTTAACTTATACTTTCTTTATTGATCTACTTTATGCCTCCAATATCTTTCCAATTAAATGACTCAATTTCATATAAAGGCCAGAGACAATGTAAAGACAAAGCGTCCTCAGGTCTTGGGCCCCGGGGCTAACCATGGAAGCCCAGTTGAACACAGACTCCCAGGCTGACTATGGAAGTCTGACTTAAAGTCACTGGATCCTCTAAACAATGGCTCACTATTGAGACTGGAGAAAAAATTAAATTTATCAGAAAAGGGCTTACAACATATGAAAGATAAAGAATTTCAATATATGAAAATTTGTCCTAGTGTGAAATGTCTTTCTAACCATCTGTAGGCATACTATTGTCAACGCTGACTTATTTTTAGAATTTGGCAGACAAATGTGAGTTATACCTGAAGAGTTCTTCACATGGGTAACGCACCTCTCACTTTACCCCTTCACGAGACCTCCCGAGGGTGGCATCTGTGCCACTTTGGAACTGTGGCACTCTATAAAAAAACTCCGGGAAAATCCTTAATATTTTGCTATCAGATCTACTTGTCTTTAGCAGCAAAAATGGAATATTTCAGTCTTATCTGTAATCTAAAAGCTTTTTTCCCCTTCAAAGCAACTTTTCTATGTGGAGTTAAAATAATTAAAGCTACACCATTAACTCTCATCTTTTCTACTTACATTGCACAGTGCAGTGGAGTAAAGGGATTACCGATAAATTTACGAAAACATTTTTGCTCCAAAAGTACTTCTATACAGTTTTCATTACCTGCAAGAAATAAAAATAATTTAGGGAGTTTCCAAGAAAGAAATTTTGTTCAACCCAATCTGCTTTTTCATTAGGTATTGAGTTTTTGGTTTATGAATTTTCCTGAATGGGCTGAACATTCATTCTCCAAGAAATAAAATTAACAAAATGCCAAAATGTTATTAACTATGTTAACAGGTGTTCTGAGACTTAATGAACAAATAAAACAAGGAAGGCCATATGGTCTGGTGAAGAGAGATAGAGAAGATGACTCATTTGCAAGCAGAATATATTCTGTTTTACTCTCAGCTCTTGAAAGATAGATTCCTCACATAGGCGTGCTTCAATCTGTCCACATTTATAAGAGGAAATGTACCTTTCACCCATACAAATACTTCCACTTACAGTTATGCATTCTAACGGACACATGAAACTGATTAGTAGAAAACAGTATTTGAGATAACGCATGTGAAAAGGTTTTGACTGTAAAATACTATATGTGTTTTAATTGACCCCAAGAACAGTTCTTGGCACATCACGGGCATTCACTAAGCACTATTCAAATAAGTAGATGAATGAATATGTGAGATTATTTTCAACAAAATGGTAGGTAGTTTCCAAATCAACTGAATTTGAGTTAAGTAAGGTCCTAGCTGTCAGCTTACTTGTTATGTGATCTGAGGCAATTTACTTGGGATCTCTGAGCCTCAGTTTCTCACATATTCAAAATTGGACAAGGAATACCTGCCCTACCTATGTCACAGGATGGTGAGAACTTTACTCAATAAAGAGCCTCAGTGTGGTTTATGACGTTCTATACAATTGTAAGACAGATCTTGCCACATGGCATTGTCTCCCAGGAAGAAGGGTGATGGTTCCCCAGCCTGACTAAGCGTTTTCTCATTACAGACCTGGTTAAAACAAAAAACAACAACAACAATAGTCTCTGTGGTTCTCAATCATAAAGTGGGAAGGCATTGCCATTTTGCTTTGGAACACAGATTGTCCTGAAACCTCTTCTCGGTTGAACTCAGTGCTAAGTTAGTGAAAGTTCCCTTATGATCTACCTCAGAATGATGTAGCTGGGACAATTTGAAATATTAAAATACAAATCAAACTTTTCTTGTACCTAAAAAGAGAAAAGGCAATATTGCTTTTAGGCAGATTAAAAAGCATATGAATTAATAAATATAAAAAAAATGGCAGTGGTCGGGCATGGTGGCTCATGCCTATAATCCCAGAACTTTGAGAGGTCGAGGCGGGTGGATTACTTCAGGTCAGGAGTTCAACACCAGCCTGGCTAATATGGTGAAACCCCATCTCTACTAACAATACCAAAAAAAAAAAAAAAAAAAAAAAAAAAGGACCTGCATGGTGGTGCCTGTCTGTAGTCTCAGCTACTCGGGAGGCTAAGGCAGGAGAATCGCTTGAACCCAGGAAGCAAAAGTTGTGGTGAACCAAAATCATGCCACCAGCCTGGGTGACAGAGTAAGACTCTATATATCCCTGGGGAAAAAAAAAAAAAAAAGCTGGCAGCTTCAGGCAAGTTGTATAATTTAGCCTTCCAACTAACTACATGGAACCCTCATTCAAATAATCTCAGACACCTCAACTCTTCCAAAGGATCTAGCTTAGGGTAGCATCCACACATAGCATTCCTTAAGTGGGGACTATATGAATCCTAGTTTAAGAGTCTGTGCAGGTAGGACTGGAGATGACTGAGCTCCTTTCAATATTTCAAAGTACCTAGTAAAAAGGAGTCTGGGAAGATGGGAGCTTGAAACTCAGTCCTGGACAAAGGCTGCACTGAAAGTGTGAACGGCTTAGGAGAAGACTGCTCCTCCTCCCCTGCCTGTACCTGGAAAGGCCTAGGAACACAGACACGTCTCACCCTGAACCCTGAGGAGAGGATCTGGTTTGCATCAGGTTTGCGACCCGCCATTATAATCAGCACTCTCACTGCATCCTTCTCCTCTTGTAGGTTCTCCAGTGCCAGAGCGCTCCCACAGCTTGACCCAGATGGGGGTCACCCATTAGTAGGTTAAAAAAAAATCACTATCCTCCAGTGGCAGGAAGGGAACAAAACCAAGTAGAGGAAATAGAAAATTTGGCTCTTACTCAGGCAGAATGAATGAAAAAAAGAGGACTGTGATGAAAACACACTAAGAGTTCTTAAATTGATATAATTAGAACACACACACAAATGCCTTTTGTGGAACTATTAATATTTTCTAAATTAAAATTTTAATTGACTGATTGAAAATGTAAAAATAAAATTATAGAAGCAAAGTAAAAAATATATGGGAAAATACCCATATAATCTTAGGGGTAGGAGACCTTTTGAAGAAAGACTGGAAACCTGGAAACCATAAAAAAATCTGATGGATTCAAGTACATAAAAGCTCAAAATCTCTACTTGGAAAAAACATCCTAAACAAGGAACAAAAATATTCGTATTTCTAAGACATTCATATCATTCAACATTCATTCATATCACATTCATATCACTAAGACAAGGTGCTCCTACAAGCATACGAGAAAAGATAAATAGCTCAATAGGAAAAAAGTGAACAAAGGATGGAAAAAGTAATTTCCAGAAGACGAAACACAAATAGCCAGCGTACTATTAGGTAGTGAAATGCAAACTGAAACAAGAAGATACCTTTTTTGGCCTTCAAATTGACAAAAATTTAAAAGGGTGATATCATTCTGGGTTGGCAAGTGTGAGGAAAAACACCAACTTTTATACAAATGTTTGGTGGAATAATGAATTTTGATATCCTTTTTGCAAAATAATATAATTTATTAAAATTAAAAAATATATAAGCCCCCTTACTCAATAATTTTATTTCTGGAAACTTATCTGACAGATTTTATGGTACCATAATATGGACATGCACATTGCTGCATTGTTTGTAATAAGAAAAAAAAATCTGAATGTCAATCCACAGAAACCTGGTTGAATAAATAATAAGTTCTGGTATACATATTGCTATGAAATAATATACAACTATTACAAGAACAATCCATATTGATATATATTGACTTGTAAGAATATCTGCAATACAATTATAAACACCAACAAAAAAATTATAGAATGGTTGCTATTTTTTCTATAATTCCAGTTTCAAAAAACAGATACACATTCATTTGTAATTATTTATATTCTCAAAGAAAAAATTATGAAAGAGATACACAAAATTACATTAGAAAGTAGGTTTAGAAATGGAAACAATTTTACTTCAGATAGTTCTGTACGTTGGAATTGGTATAATTAGCATGCATTTTTAAATTAAAATAAGTGAAATATAAATTTTAAAATCTCCCAAATAATAAGTACAACAAAATAAATGGGGAATATGAAACATAACAAAGAAATACCAAAAGATGAATCATGCATCTACTAGTAATCAATTGTGACAGGTTATTAAATTTTATATATATATATGTGGTTTTAGTTTTATTATTTTAATCTCTTGTGGGATCCCTGGTTATATTACATAGATCAGAAACTCTGAATAAAATTGGTCATTTAAGCTTATCAGTTCTGATTACGGTTATGTGTTAATGATTAACTAAAAGGGGAAAGTGAACTTTTACTCAAGGCATCACAGCAGCTGTGGAGGGGTGAGAACTATTAAAAAAACAAACAAACAAAATACACAAAAAAGATATCTTGGATGCAGAAAGATTAGAAGCCACGGTTTGCAGAATTACACAAGGCTGTCACCTCCACTGAGCTCACAGGGGTCATGGGGTAGGAAGTCTAGTGGAATCTGTCAAATGATAAGCAACTCACCATTGTAACAAGCCCAGTGCAGTGGCGTGTAGCCTTGGTTATCTTTGAAACAACAGTCCTCCTCAGAAAGAGCCATTTGGAGCAGCTCGCTCAGCCACGTGGCGTGGCCACGAGCAGCTGCATAGTGCAAGGGCGTCCTCCCTCTGGAATCTTTACAGAGAATTGACACTTCTTGTTCCAGCAGCATTTGCACACATTCCTCGTGTCCTGTCATAATCTGATGCATTGCAATTAAAAACACAAAACAAACCTCAGAAGACTAAGGAAGCAAAGCAGTTGGCTAAGTGAGGCTGGGCTTAGAGCAAGTGGACATATGCCTGGGTCTTTAAGGAAGGCAGACTCTGTACTATTTCAAGGGCAGAAGTCAGGACAACCTCAGCAAAATTCATAACAGAAAAATCTGTGAACATCAGCATTTTCCAAACATCTCTTGCCTTTCCTGACAACCATGAAAGATATCATGATGTGGCCAGGTAATCCCAGCACTTTGGGAGGTGGAGGAGGGCAGATCACGAGGTCAGGAGATCGAGACCATCCTGGCTAACACGGTGAAACCCCGTCTCTACTAAAAAATTACAAAAAATTAGCCGGGCGTGGTGGCGGGCGCCTGTAGTCCCAGCTACTCAAGAGGCTGAGGCATGAGAATGGCGTGAATCCGGGAGGCGGAGCTTGCAGTGAGCCAAGATTGCACCACTGCACTCCAGCCTGGGCGACAGAACAAGACTCTGTCTCAGAAAAAAAAAAAAAAAGAAAAGAAAGATATCATGATGCAGTGGTAAACATCAGTTTTAGAATCAGGAAGGTCTAAGTGAAATCTTGGCACCCCTGTGACAGGTCAGTTCGCCTCTCCATCCCTCACTCTATTCACCCATATATAAGAATAGTAATAACAACTTCACAGGGTGTTGTGAGGACTGAGATAACAGATGCAAAGGCTCTCAGCTTGTTGTACAGCCTACAGGAAGCAACCGAGAAATAAAAACTATGATTGTGACAATGATCACGTAGTGCTCCTCTTCTCTTCATTTATCAGTGTGCTTGGTACCAGCCCAAAACAGCAATTGTATGATTTCTGCTTGTATTCACTTAGTTTATTTGGCATGCTTTAAAAAACAGTTCAGCAGGTGCAAGTGGTCACGCCTGTAATCCCAGTACTTTGGGAGGTGGAGGCAGGAGGATCACTTGAGCCTAGCAGTTCGAGACCTGCCTGGGCAACATGACGAAACCCCATCTCGACAGAAAATACAAAAGTTAGCTGGGCATGCTGGCATGCACCTGTGGTCCCAGTTACTGGGGGGAGGCTGAGGTGGGAGGATCGCTTGAGCCCGGGAGGTGGAGGTTGCAGTGAGCTGATATCATGCCACTGCACTCCAGCCTGGGTGATAAGAGTGAGACAAAAAACAAACAAACAAACACTTCAACAGATGTGTGAAGTCCATAGGATACATATTTTGGCATTATTTGTAAGGACAAACAATTAGAAATAGCATAACTACTTAAAACCAGGTAATCATTGAAATAAACTATGACACTTGAACACAATGAGGCATTAAAAATCATGATGCAGAAAAAAGTGACATGTAAAAAGGTCCTTGATATACTAAGAGAAAAAAGCACATTCCAAATGACATCTTCAGTATTCTCTCTTTAAAATCTAAAACAAATCTATATATAGAAAGAAGATTGGAGATAATATACACCAAAAAGTGGTTATCTCCAGGAGGTATGATTACTGGTGATTGTGATTTTCTTCTCCGGGCTTTAAAAAAAATATTCTGCAAATTTTCTATGATATACATGTATTTTGTAGTCAGAAAGCAGAACCAATTTCACCAACAGTAGGTGTTCGTGCATCTATTATCACAATCTAACATGAAATCTTAAGAGCAAAACCTTCCATTATTTTGCCTTTGCCAAGGATTTTGTAATTTCTTTTGGACTGAATAAGGTTAATTGGTTATATTAGGAAACAGCCTTTTTGCTAAAAATTCATAGAAGGAAAAAAAAGAAAACAAGCTCATTAAAAAATGGCTTGACTAGAGCTGAGAAAGATGTACATACCCCTCTGTGTAAAGCTGTGCATCCTAGGATGTCAACAGTGTCTACGTTGGCTTCCTTTTCAAGTAACAACGAAACAGCATCAATATGTCCATATGCTACTGCAAGCATCAGTGGTGTTCTAGACAGAGAGATAAAGTAGGCTTTTAAAAAGGAGATTTAAAAAAATATTCATCACTACCGGTAGGAGGACATTCTCTTTCTCTCTCTCATTCTTTTCCCCTCTCCTCTTAACAATTGCTCAATAATTTTGGAGCATCCCCAGTTTGCTATACAATATGCAGAACAAGCTATCTGCCTCTGCTCTAATGGCCACATGGAATGTTGTTGGTGGAATGATCCCTAGCGATGAGACAGGGGAAGCTTCCTTTTCAAAATATTCATGTTAATCCCATCATTTTCAGACCCATGTAGCATTTACTAGATATCAAGGGCAGGGAGAATGTGTATGCAGAAGCCCATCCTGCTTCCATCAGAGCAGCTCTACTTTGTGGTATTCTATGTTGGACTTCTGCTAAAGATTTCATTTAAACAAAGCTTCTTTCCCTAAAGAAAAGTCTAGCAAGTCTCAGGGAAAGAATGAAGTGTTGTGATGCAAGAGGGAGGTGAGATTCTGACTATGACACTAATTCACATGCCTGGGGCTAGTCACTGCTGACTTTTGCTCTGCATTTCCTATTTGTAAGAGAAGATTAGGTGGGGAATACGCCAACAGAAGGAAATTACTTTGAAAAAACAAAGTTGAGGAAGAAAAGACATTTGAAGGATTTCAGTAATAGAGATAACCTCATGAGGTCTGTCCTATTTATTAATTAGAAAATAGCAATGGTGTAGCAGCTTCAGAAGAGGGTAAAAATGGGCGGAAAGAGGGAACAAAGGAGAGAATATAAATAAGAGCTGGGAAACATGGCCACAGCCCTTAAAAAGGTGATTCTTTCATCAAGACATGTGCACACCCACCCCTTCATGCTTTTCTTGGATATACACACTGTAACTTAAAGCCACCTCATTAGTCCAGGGTCCTGGCCCAAATATATTACCCCAACTTCTCAGTTCCACAGTCAGCCTTGTAATGATTTAACCAACCAGGTAGCTGTTGTGATTGAAATGTCAACCCAAGGCCACGTGTGAGCGCACTTACTGTCCTTTGGCATCTTTCACATCGACTGCCTCCGGGTTGTCTGCAATTTCCAGCAACAGCCGTAAACACAGTGTGTGACCATTAATTACTGAAAAAGAAAACAGTGTACAGTCTTTTAACAGAACAACACTACACATATCTCTCCCAAGTGACCTTTTTTTTTTTTTTTTTTTTTTTTTTTTTTTGAGATGGAGTCTCGCTCTGTTGCCAGCCTAGAGTGCAGTGGGGCAATGTCGTCTCACTGCAATCTCCACCTCCCAGGTTCAAGCAATTCTCCTGCCTCAGCCTCCTGAGTAGCTGGGAGTACAGGTACGCACCACCAGGCCTGGTTAATTTTTGCATTTTTAGTAGAGACAGGGTCTCACCATCTTGGCCAGGCTGGTCTTGAAATCCTAGCCCCAGGTGATCCACCAGCCTCGGCCTCCCAAAGTGTTGGGCTTATAGGCGTGAGCCACCAAGTGACCTTCTGAGACAGAATCTCACTCTGTCATCCAGGCTGGAGTGCAATGGTATGATCTTGGCTCACTGCAACCACCCCCTCCCGAGTTCAAGTGATTCTTCTGCTCAGCCTCCCAAGTAGCTGGGATTATACGCATGCACCACCACTAATTTTTGTATTTTTAGTAGAGATGGGGTTTCACCATGTTGCCTAGGCTGGTCTTGAATTCCTGGGCTCAAGCAATCCGACTGCCTCGGCCTCCCAAAGTGCTGGGATTACAGGCATGAGCCACCGTGCCTGGCCCCAAGTAACATTTATTTAGAATTCAAATCAGTGGTTTTCCATTGTTGCCACTGGATCCCCCTCAGCTTCTAGCTCAAGGTAGTTTTGGGCAGAGTGCCTCTGTGTTAATCTGTCTTCCCCCTTCTTCCCAGCAGGGTGCTTTGATCCCCGCATTCCTTTTCTAGTTCCTGTGTTGAGGGTTTTTTCTTACACTTAGGGTCCTTTCTTATCTCCTGTCAGGGGACTAATAATCTCTCCCCACTAGTCAGCTCCCCTTTTTGTTCCTCTGAGTCACCAAATTCCATATAATCATCCTGTATCTACCCTGCCTCCAACGCTTTTAAAAAGAAGGAAGAAGGGAGAGAAGGGAGTGGAAGGAGATGTGGGGAGCAGGAGCAGGATGGAGGAGGAGGGAGGGGAGGAAGGAAGGAGAGAAGTGGAGGGAAGAGGGGAGAGGGGCAGCAGGGAAGGGAGGAGGGAGGTGGGGCTGCCTCTTCTCCCAGGTCGTTTTACATTCTGAGGTAGATATTCAGAAGAGGTATTCCTGCAATAGCCCTGACGGATGGATGGTGGCAGAAAACAAAACCTCACGCCGGCAGGTTGTGCACGCTCCATTCGCTCACTGCTGAGTGAAGGTCCCTCAGCCCTGCGGTCCCGGAACCACAGCCGGCGCTTTCTCTGACTTCCCAGGCGTCCTCGTGCCCGGCCGGGGTGTGACTGGGCTCCCTGGGAGACCTTTCCTAGGCCAGGTCAGGCCTCCCCCTGCCTCTCCTCATCCAGCGGACTGAGTGGGTGCCAATGTGGGCAGGAAATGCGGCCCCCACGCGGGGCCGGCCTGGACCGGCTGGGGCGGGAGCACGGGACGCACTCCTGTGCACACCAGTACCAGGCAGCTTTAGAAGGCTGTGGTCACACAGGGGCTGGGAAGCAAACCTGTGACGATCACCTCCAGCTAAGCTGCTTTCTGCCAGGCTGTTGAATGGAAACCAAAGCCTTATGATAGGCATCGCTTCCCACTCAGGGAGTAAGATGAGAGCAACCGTGGTTAAAATTCCAAATGTGACCTTCTCTCCTCTCTAACAATGACAGTACATTGGCATTTGCCACATTATGGATGTGGAGACAGAAGGGAATAGACGCCACTATGTGAGGCTGATAAAGACTCTCCTAAAAGCTGCATTTTACAGACCTTTTATTTGCTTGCCAGCCACGAGAGAATGCTAATTTAACAATGATACATTTTTTCAGGGACAATACATACATATTAGAATTAGCTTGCATTATCAACAGCACCCAAATGAACTACAGGAATAATATGCGCATTTTGTAGACCATTGCATTTAGCTCATTCTCAGCAACATTCCATTTGTGTATCTCGGGAGGAAATTCTGCAGATTGGAGTACAGGTAATATGTAGTTGCTGCTGCTGTTATGTCTTTTGTTCTTACAATTACACTAAATCTGCTACCATTGGTGAAATAGGCAAGAAGTTTAATGTATGGCTAAAAGGAAATGACTGGCAAAGGACTGACAGCTAAATACTGCAGACGGCAAGCTCATGAAGATGGAAAAACAGCATATTTTGACTGGTTCCTCTTTCTGTAGCAACTTAATACTCTAAATAGTCATAATCACAATAGTGCAAGTGACATTTGATACTTGGCTAAACATAAGAAGAAAAAAATTATCTAACTTCATATCACCCAATGTGTTAGACAGCAAAACAGTTTCTACAGTTGTGTGTGTTTGTTTTTTTTTTTTTTCCACACAGAGTCTCGCCCTGTTGCCCAGGCTGGAGTGCAGTGGCATGATCTCGGCTCACTGCAACCTCTGCCTCCCAGGTTCAAGCGATTCTCCTGTCTCAGCACCCCCACCCCAAGTAGCTGGGACTACAGATGTGCACTACCACACCCAGCTAATTTTGTATTTTTATTAGAGACGGCGTTTCACCTTTTTGGCCAAACTGGTCTGGAATTCCTGCTGGGATTACAGGCATGAACTGCCATGCCCAGTCCCTCAGGGAAATTTAAGTTCCCCTGAAGTTTGTAGCCAAACTTAAATTCTCATTGGCTTCCTACACACTACATTTTTTCCCCCAAATTGTCTTCTAGCAAAAAGATGCGAACATCTTTAGCTCTGCTGCCAAGTTCAGCTTTTTCTCAGACCAGCTCAGCCTCTTCCTGGCTGTGAGTGACAACCATTTTTCACACGACTCAGAGACTACAGCTGTCACTCCCACTATCTGTGCCAAAACCTCTGATACTCATCCTGGCTCTTGCTCCTCATAGTGCTCCGAGGATTTGAAACTCAAAATATCGCCTCTCAAAAGAGTTGAAAAAGATTTTGGGTAAGCAGATCCTCAAAGCACACGCTAAAGCTTCTGCACAGTAGACATTTTGTGAACCGTCTGGTGACAGTGTCTTTTTAATGAATGAGAGGAGGAAAATTCAAGCTGAGTGAGTCTTCTTGACCACTAGGGGGCTTCATTGGACCACAACCCATATCACACTGGCAAATGAGTGTAAATGCTTGTTCTTCATTGTTTACCTGTTTATAAGGGTGATTTTCCACCATCAAAGTAGGCCCTTTGTTATTGTCAGGAATTATATAATAACGAAAATAGGATGCTTCTCTTAATAATAGGCAACTAATCTTTAAAAAAGGAGGACAAAATTTGAATTTTATAATAATAAGAAGAATGGCTGCGGAGCAAAATGACCAAATGGGATGAGAAATAAGAATTTATAATTCAACCACACCACCTATTACTAACCCTATGGCTAAAGTTTTTTTTTTCCAGCAACAATCATTTCCAGGTAAATAGACAACAATCAGGTTTTTTCAACCTCTGTATTGTTTTTCTTCAGTGGCTTGGAAATTCAGGAACATAGATGGAAATGGTTCTACAAGGTCTATCATTCTGGGAAAATTTTCCCAAGTAACAAGAATCATAAAGTCTTTTTTGAAAAAGTATCTTCACTTATTTGCTTCCTCAATACACCCATTTCACCAAGTAAGACAGTTATTTCTCTTTACAAAATGTTATCCACTACCCTAATCAAAGGCTGATATCACTGAATTTCCTGAGCTCAAAGGTATCTATGCCTTAGCTGAGCTAGACCTTCCATATTACCCTTATGTCTGTGTATATATCTAGAAGTGTCCTGACACAGTTTGTCATGGGCATGGGAGAAAATCTCAGAAAAGGCAAATGACTTCCTTTTTGATATATACATGTGCTTTTAAAGCATCTTGATTTTTACTTCGATGTGAAAAAAAGCTAAGTAACATCATTTAGGCTGGCAGAATGATGTACTGATTAGATTGCTGCCTTATGATTCCTTATATGAAATAGCCCTGAATACATTAATATGAATATGAAATAGCCACAAAACCTGCTATTGGTTTTGTGCTTTCAAATACTGTTTGATTTTGATGTGTTTTGTTCTATGTAACTTATTCTGAAGATTGCATTACACCTTGCCCTTTGTTCAAAATGTTTTGTGGTAGCTTTTAGCCAAAAGTTCTGAACTCTCCTTTGAGTTAAGAAGGCCAGAGCACCTGGCCAGAGAACATCAATCACCTCCAAGAGGATAGCAGGCCAAAAGCATTTTGGAAGTGTGGAAGTATGTCCCATGTGGAAAAAAATTGATATTATTTTAAAAACTGGGATGAAAGAAGATGCTGCTTTCCTTCTATTAAAACTTATGAACAAGCCACAAAACTAGGGTAATCGGATCCTTGACAAGACCTACCTGAGGCATGAAGTGGGGTTCTTTTGGTTACATTGTCTTTCACAAAGATGGACGCGCCCTGATTGATAAGTGCTTCCACACATTCTGTGTGTCCTTTAAAGGCAGCCAGATCCAGAGCAGTGCGGCCTTTCTCATCCCTGATGTCCAGGTCCACCAGCGACTGCAGAAGGACTTCCAAGGCTTGATGGTGCCCATTGTAGGCCTGCAAAGAAGAAACCAATGGCTCCCATGCTTGCTCGCTCACCTCAAATCCCGCCACAATCCACAGGAGGGGCTGGGCTTCCTGGGCCATGGATAGAGACCACTCCCAAGAGCATGTCAGAAAAACACTTGGAATAATTATTAAAACACAGGCAAGCTGGAGAGTTAGACTGAAACACTATAACACACAAACCTCATAGTTCCATATGAGTTTCATGTTCTCTTTTGTCACATAATTTGCTCCAAAGGCACTGAATGTATTAATGTATTCTTATATTTATATCTACTGATCTAATTGTCTAATATAAACTAACAGCTGAATGCATTACCATATTCTTTTACCTGTCGGTTCAGTCCTAAACATATTGGCATAATCAGAATTTTTTTTCCAGGAGTCTTTTCTGATAACAAACCTGGGTAAAAAAATTACCAAAAACATATGGACTTCGAGATACAACAGAGGCATATAGACGTTCTGTTATAGGCCAACTCTTTATTAATTCCTAACTGTGTGACCTTAGGTGAGTTTCTTAATTTTACTTAGAGTTTGTTTCTTCCTCTATGAGAGTAATCAGAGCTGCCTCCTAGGGTTGCTGTGAAGATGAAATTGCATAGGCTTTGCATAATATCTTGCATGTAGCTAGTGCTTTTCTCCTTTATTTCTTCCCTTGATTATAATGAAAAGCATTTCATTATAGAAACAATTATGGAAATATATTCCATGTAGCAGCACTAAGTTCAGACCTTTTATGAGGTCCTAAGCTATGTTAAGATTAAGAGGCTTGTCAGACACAGTGGCTCACGCCTATAATCCCAGCCCTCTGGGAGGCTGAGACAGGTGGATCACTTGAGGTCAGGTATTCGAGACCAGTTTGGCCAAAATAGTGAAACCTCATCCCTACTAAAAATACAAAAATTAGCCAGGTGTGATGGCGGGTGCCTGTAATCCCAGCTACTCAGGAGGCTGAGGCAGGAGAATTGCTTGAACCTGAGGCAGAGGTTGCAGTGAGCTGATATCATGCCACTGCACTCCAGCCTGGGTGACAGACTGAGACTCTGTCTCCAAAAAAAAAAAAACAACAAAAAAAGAGACTTCATACCACCAAAACACAAAACTAAAAGTCTGAAAGATAATTTTTATTGCGTCTGTAAGTTTAAAAATGTATTAGCACCTCCCCACCCCCACCTCTCCACACACAGGCAAAGGTACACTGAAAATAAGAGAAGGGAGCTAAGGTTATATGGGGTGAAAACGGGGATGGGCGGCATGGTCAAGAGCAGCTGAGAAAACTGTTCATTGGTGGCCTGACTCTGAAACTACAGGTGATAGTTTAAGAGAACATTTTGAGAAATGGGACACATTCACAGGTTGTGTGGTAATAAAAGACCCCCAAACAAAATGTTCCTGGGGCTTTGGTTTTGTGATCTAGTCTTGTGTGGAAGAGGTGAATGCTTGACCACATAGGGTTGATGAGCATGTAGAGGTACCAGAGAGCTATTTCTAGGGAGGATTCTGCAAAGTCCGCTGCCCAGCTAACAGCGAAGAAAATTTTTGTTGGTGGTATTAAAGAAGATATAGAGGAATAGAATTTGAGAGACCATTTTAAAAGGTATGGCAAGACTGAAACCATAGAAGTCATGGAAGACTGGCAGATTGGAAAAAACGAGAGGATTTGCTTTTGTAACTTTTGATGATCATGCTACAGTTGATAAAACTGTCATTCAGAAATACCACAATATTAATGGGCATAACTGGGAAGTGAAAGAGGCCCATTCTATACAAGAGATGTGGTCTGCTGGATTGCAGGGAGGTTGTGGAGGTGGATCTGGCAATTTTATGGGTGGTGGAGGAAACTCTGGAGGTGGAGGAAGTAATTTTGGCTGTGGTAGAAACTTTGGTGGAAGAAGAGGCTATAGTGAAGCTGGTGGCAGCAGAGATAGTTATGGAGGAGGTGCTGGTGGGTGTAATGGATTTGGAGGTGATGGTGGCACCTACGATGGTGGTCCTGGTTCTAGTGGTAGAGGGGGCTATGGTGGTGGTGGGCCAGGATATAGAAACCAAGGGGCTAGATACGGTGGTGGGGGATATGATGGTTACAATGAAGGAGGAAACTTTGGTGGTGGTACCTGTGGTGGTGGTGGGAACAATAATGATTCTGGAAATTATAGTGGGAGACAGCAATCAAATTTTGGATCCATGAAAGGGGGTAGTTTTGGTGGAAGAAGCTCAGGAAGTCCCTATGGTGGTGGTTATGGATCTGGTGGAGGAGTAGTGGATATGGTAGTAGAAGTTTCTAAAAACAGCAGAAAAGGGCTACTGTTCTTAGCAGGAGAGAGAGCGAGGAGTTGTCAGGAGAGCTGCAGGTTACTTTGAGACAATCTTCCCAAATGCATTAGAGGAATGGTAAAAATCTGCCACAGAATGAATGATCATCCATAGTCAGAAAAGTTACTGCAGCTTAAGCAGGAAACCCTTCTTGTGCAGGACTATCACAGCCACAGTTTGCAAAAAGTCCAGCTATTAATTAATGCAATGTAATACCATTTAGATATACACTCCTGAGGTCTTTTATTTGCTGTAGCTTTATTTTTTTCTTTTTCTTTTCAAATTACACCAGGTATATTGTCCTATAAATTGGGGTAGTGGTATGAGGATTAAAAAATTAAGGCATTTTAAATTTTCAATATTTGTGTAGTTCCGTTTTTCTACATTTTAGTACAGAAACTTTAACAAAATGCAGTTTCGAAGGTGTTTCCTTGTGAGTTAACAAGTAAAGAAGATCATTGTTAATTACTATTTTGTATGAATTGTGTTAAAGTTAACTGTAAAGAAACAACTGCTGACTTACAGTTTAAAGGGAATCTATTCTCCCCATTTCCAAACCATGATTTGAATGGGCACTGACAAGTGGAGAGAACAGATATTAGTATGTTTGCAATGTGTGTTTTAGATAAATCGGACTGGGTATTTAAATTAGCATATTTGTGAATTTAATAGCATTAAGATTACCTTCAAATGAAAAACAAAAACTCAGAATTCAAAAAAAGAAGAAGAAGAAAAGAAAAGCCTGATTCCAGTGTCTTCAGCAACCAAATCTCCTCTTATGTCACCTGCACTTTTTATTTTTCTACTGCAGCTATTACTCAAGACACAATTTGTTTGAAAAAAGGCTCAGCATAGACAAAAGACTAATTTCTTTAATATATAAATAACTCTTGGAAACCACTTTAAAAACTAGGAAAATATGCAAAAGGCATGAAAAGGCAGCTCACAGAAAAAGAAATATAAAAGGTCAATAAATATGTGAATATGTGAAGAAATAAGCAAATTTTTAAAGTACGATTTTTCAACTACCAGATTGGCAATGATTAAAGTTTGGTCATGCCCAGTATTAGGTAAGACACTGAAAAAAGCAATCATACACTCTGTTGGTGAGAATATAGATTGGTGTGACATTTGTGGAGGGTGGTTTAACACAATCTATCAAACTTTTTAAAAAGAGAAATGAAGTTGCAAACAATACGTAAAGCATGACCTCATTTATATACAAAGCAAATATATCATATATATATAGACTTCTATATTCATAGAAGATTTGTACAAAGATACAAAAGAAGCTATCAATGGTAGTTATCTCTACAACCAGGAAGTAGAGTAATAAACACATGGACTTATTTTACCTTATCTTTTAAAATATGATTTGAATGTTTCTTCCTGAGTGTGTGTTAACAATGACAATAACAAAACTGGATTGAAAAGGAGACATAAGAATTAAGAGTACAGATACATTAAACATTTTTTTCTCATTACATTATTTTTGTGAATGATTTTGATTATGTTACATATTAAACCTATATATCATTTATAACAGGTAGTATAACAACTCATTCTGATGAATCCCAAAAGTATATCCCAGTCCCTTGACTTCCCAACTGCCTACTGATGTTCCCACTTGAATGTGTAATAGGCATCTCAAACCAAAATCTCCCTCCCAAAACTTGCTCCATCTGCAGCCTTTACCATCTCAGTAAATGGCAACTTTATTCTTCTAGTTGTTCAGGCCCCAAACCTTACAGTTGTCTTTGTCTTCCCTACTGTTAAACCCAGAGTTTTGCCTTGAACAAGGAAGGGCTCTGGGATAATAGGGCCAATGGGTGTTGAAAAATAGCCCTTCCCCTCCTTGCTGCCCTAGTATAGGGAAGTGTCTGTGAAAGCAAGGGACACATTTGCGAACTCACACAGAGGTGTCATTAGGTTCTCAGGTATCTGGAAGGAATCTGGTCTAATTCTCACAAAGTGCTGTGTCAATGCCAATTTCAGGGCTCATCATTTCTATTCTATCTTTAAAATACATCCAGAATCTGTCTACTTCTCACTGCATCACCAACCTGTTTTGCCAGGATTACAGCAAAAGCTTCCCTTCCTATCCTTGTCCCATTGCAATCTGTTATTAATGCAACCATTGGGTGAAATCTTTTAAATTCAAGTTGGGTCACATCCCTCCTTGCTTAAAATTAGCCTATGACGTCTTCCCTCACTGATACCAACATCCAAAACTTCCACGACCGATCAGGCCCCCAGAATCTGGCCTCCCACTCCCCTCAGCTTCAGCACGTCCCCTCACTCACTCTGTTCCAGCTGCACCAGCCTCCCTCTCTAGTTAAATAGCTGCATGTCCTGTTCTGGGCCACTGCATCTGTACTTTCTGCTCCCTCTGTCTGGAAAGCTCTCCCAGTAATTCTGCTCAAATATCACCTTATCAGGGGGGTTTCCCAGAGGAGCCCATGTAAAATATAAAATAGGCTCTGCCCTCCACCTCACACATACCCCCAGATACTCTCCACCCCACTAATCCTGCTTTCTTCTGCTTCATAGCACAAAACAGATATCAATGGATATCTGTTACATATCTATTGATTTGCTTATTGTCTGTGATTGAAGGGACTTAATGTGGGTTGTTCCTGCTGTATTCTAGAATCATGCCTGGCACACAGTAGACA